TTACACATAGAAGATGCTTAATAAGTGTTGGATATTATTAAATTTAAAGTTCTCTTACATTGTGCCCTCTGTTTTACTCAGCTTTTGTGTCACTGTAACCAAAAGATCTGATAAGAACTGAGAGGAGTAAAAGTTTATTTTGGCTCATTATTTCAGAGGTTCAGTTCATGACTGRCTGACTACATAGCTCTCAGCACAAAGTGAGGCAGAATGTCATATGAAAGGGCAGAGCAGAGGAAAGCAACTAAGGATATGATAACCAGGAAGCAGGGAGATAGAGCTTTGTTTATGATGGGCAAAATATAAAAACAGAGGCACGAGATGGGAGGGAAAGAGAGAGAAAAGGGGAATTGCATGGAAATGGAAAGAGACCCTCATTGTTATAAAAAACTACATAAAAGAGGTTGTGAGGGGAATTAGAAGAAAAATAAGGAGAGAAATGAATTACAGTAGATGGGATAGAAAGAGAAGATGGGGGGAGGGGGATAGTAGAGGATAGGAAAGGTAGCAGAATACAACAGTCACTAGTATGGCATTATGTAAAAATGTGAATGTGTAACAGATGTGATTCTGCAATCTGTATTTGGGGTAAAAATGGGAGTTCATAACTCACTTGAAACTAATGTTTGAAATATGATGTCAAGAGCTTTGTAAGGTTTTAAACAACCAATAAAAATAAATAAATAAATAAATAAATAAATAAATAAAATAAACCTCAAAGGCACTCCCTCAGTGGCTTCTTTGCTCAGCCACATCCTACTTCTTTACAGTTACCACCTAGTTAATACATGTCAGTGGATTAATGCACTATTAGCTTATAGCTCTTTTACCTCTGAACATTCTTGCATTGTCTTACACATTGGGGACACCTAACTTCTAACCGATAGCACTATTCTACCTCCATGATATTCTCTGTTACTTTCCTATGGAGATAGGGAAGTGATCCTAGTCTGGTTCATCTTACCTGGTTCATTTTTCTCTATGCAGAATGCCCTTTCTTCTTTTCCTCTATCTGTAAATTTGATTCTAATTCATCTCTTCCATGAGACCTCTGTCCTTCATACCACTTTGAATTCTTTTTGTAGTTACACCATTGGGACATTTTGGACATTTGGACATATTATCAATTATCTTTTATTTACACCCTGTTTCATCTGGATTGAAAGTTCAAAGTTCTGTATCTCTCTAGCTCTGAGTATTAGCTAACATGTTCAAGAGATTTGTTAGAAATTAAAGAGACTGTTTTAAAAACATTGCTGAATAGTTTGGGAAGAAAACTTAATGACAGAAAATGAAGTGGTGTGCTAGCCAACATGACTATATTGGCACTGGAATTAATGAAAAGAAAATAATCTCCTTTTGTAGGCCAAGCGGATCATATTTTATTATAATTGTAGAGACAGCATGATAGATAGCACCCTTTCCCCCTTTTCTGTAAATCTCTTAATATTTTCACTTATAGAATTGACCATGAACTTCCTTGACAATGTTTTTTGATATTCACAGTGTTTTTTTCTTTGTCTCTTTGAACAATGAACAATGGAGAAATTTTTCTTGTTTCCTTTTTTTCAGTATAATTTGTGTATTTCTTATTGGTCATTTATTTGGGACTGTGAGTCATTTGAATTTTTTTCTGTTGGTTCTGGGATGAAAGCATGATTCTCTCAGCTGCCACTGGCTCACCATATGTTATAATTATGAAAAGTGATGAAAATTATGTGGTGAAGCAAAAAACTGATATACTGATGTTTTGATTATAAATAGCTTAAGTTCATTGTATATTTTATACACCTAGACATTCTGCATGATTCTTTAAATAGTTTATGAAGATCTATAATGTAGCTATTATTTACTTTACCTATGAGGGTAATGAGTCTGAGAAGGATTAGGGAGCATTCTTAGACCAAATATTTTATAAATAACACTGATAGACAATCTGGTGTTAAAGGTAGAGATTTTGTTTTATTTACTCTTATAGTCCCAACATTTAGAACAGTGGCTGGAACTGTTTTGTTGAATGAATCCAGTTTTTCTCCCTCATTCTCTCTTGAATTCAACATTGGATTTTTCACTTTCATTACTGCATCATAGCCACTCTGTTAAAACTACTAACTTCCAAAGACCCATTTTCATGCTTTTCTTTCTTAAACTATCAGCAGTTATCTTAGTTCATTTTCTGTTGCTGTAAAACATGCTGCCTGGGTGACTTATGATGAATAGAGGTTTATTTTGCCTATAGTTCTGGAGGCTACACGTTTACGACCAGGTGGCTACAATTGGGAAGAGCCTTGGACTGCGGCATCACTTGATGGAAATGTAGGACAAGCATAATCGATGACATTGTTTTATAGCTACCTGCTTTTACAGAAACTAACCCAGTGCTAAAAAGTGAAAATTCTCTCCATTTGAAAGACATTAATCTCTTTTAAGGATCTAATCACCTTTTCAAAGCCCTTACCTTGCACCACTGTTCATATTGGGAATCAAGTTTCAACATGAATTTTGGAAAGGGACAAACCATATTGAAATCATGGCAGCATTATTTGGCCCAATTATTTATTCTCCTTCCTTAAAATATTTTCTTTACTGGCTTCCAAAGCTTCCCGTTCTCCCATTTCTTCCCCTTCATCCCTGACTGCTCATCAGTCTAATCTTTTGTTGTTCCTAGCTTCTATTCCAAGGGCTCATTCTTCAAATGTTTTCCTCCTTCTTATTTATATTCACTTATTTGGTGATAGTGCCATGTTTTTAAAATACCATTTAGACTCAAGTACTTATTTCTTGATCCTGGACTTTTCCCCTGAATTTCCCTCTAACATATTGGATAATTAGTTAATAGATTAATAGGTATATAAAGCTTAATATATCCCAAACTAATCTCCTGATATTTTATTCTTCCTATCCAAAGGGTATAACTGCTGGGGTGCAGTGGTGCATGTCTGTAATCCCAGCAGCTCTGGAGGCTGAGGCAGGAGGATCTTAATTCAAAGCCAGCCTCAGCAATGGCAAGGTGCTAAGCAACTCAGTGAGACCCTGTCTCTAAATAACAAAATAGGGCTGTGGATGTGGCCCAGTAGTTGAGTTCAGTCCCTAGTACTCCAATAAAAGAAAAAAAAAAGGAGTGTAACTAATTCACACATACTTAACACTTCTAGTTGTTTAAGCCAAAGAAACTTTATTATCATCCAGTCTATTAGCAAACTGTTGGCTCTGTCTTCCAAATGCATTCTGAATCTGATCACTTTTCATCTTTATTGTTGTAATTTTGGTCCAAACCAGCATCCTTTTACAGATTTTGTTATAATTGTTTTCTGTCCGATTTTCCTGCCCCGYCCCTGCTACTCGCCCTTGGCTCCTTCCACAGACTGCTCTCAACATAGTAGCCAGGGAGAAAAAAGAAGGAAAGAAAAAAGAATGTATTTTTTTCCTTCTCAGAATAGAAACCAAAATTATTCATGCCCACCTTTTGACCTCACTTCTTACTCAGTCTGGCTCCACTGGCTTCCTAGCTAATATATGAAGCATGTCCGCCTCCCCACCCTCCAGGAGCTTTGCATTTATTTTTGCCTCTTTCTGTGCTTCTCTTGATACCACCCCTGGTTAGCCGTGAGGAATTCTGCTTCCTCACAAGTTGAAGTATAACATTATAGAGAATCTCACCAAGGCAAACATATAAAGCAGGGCTTATTTAAAAAGGAATAACATAGACTTCTCTGGGAGGGAGAAGGGGGCCATAGCTGGTATCCTGGTATCCCAAGAAGTGAGAGTGTTTGGCCTTTTTATGTGTTTTAGGCTTCCTTTGTTCTCTGGCTTTCTTCCTCCTATCTCTCTCCTTCCTGCTTATGTGACTAGGCCCAGGAGATGTTCAGTGGGATGGCCGAAAGGTGAGAAGCAGATGGATTGAGGGGAGGCGTGGTGCTGATAGAGCAGCCCAGCACACATAAATTAACAACTTTAGAACTCACTGTGGGGAGGGGCAATTCCTGGGACAGGTTACCTTACCAACAGGTTGGAGCAAGGGCAGTCTCCAACTTTTCAGACTTACTCAAATTGACCTCCTTGATCCGACCCGACTTGATTTACCTATCTATAGTGACTGCCTATCTAAATCTGTCTTCATTCTTTCCACAGATGTCTCCATGACTTAGATATTCTCTTTTCCTAAGTTCTTCCAGTCTTTACTGAGGTGCTGTCTTCTCCATGAAGCCTCCATGGACTATCTCATTTAAAATTATAGCTCATTCCCTGCATGCCTTTTCCTAGCCCACTCATCAGCACTTCTTTTCCCCTTATTTTACTTCTTATATTATGTAACATCTTTTGACATACTTTATTTTTAAAATATTTTTTAGTTGTCAGTGGACTTTTTATTTATTTTTATGTGGTACTGAGCATTGAACCCAGTGCCTCACATGTGCTAGGCAAGCACTCTGCCACAGAGCCACAAACCCAGCTCCCCCCCCCCCATACTTTATTTTTATTTCTATCAGAGTGTGTTTGTGTGTGAGTTAAATCTGTCTCCTTATTAGATATAAATTTTACTTGAAAATAAATTCTATGARGTAGAAATTTATTCATTTGTCCATCCTGACTTGTTTATTTGTTAATCCCCAAATGAACAAGGAGTGAGTCTCAGAACTAGAATGTGTAGTAAGTTCTGTTTGAACTTATAGCTATTATTGGGTTTATGTATGTGTATTTTTTATTTTAAATACACCTCCCTGTACTCAAAAACTTTTGAATCAATGTAGTCTTATAAATTTTATCAATGTGAAGTGAACAGTTCAGATTTATTTAATAAGGAAACATACAGTGATGATTATGATTACTACATTCTGAAATTTGTCTTTAAATATGGCTGAGACTCACTTTATGAATTTTATAAAAGTAGTATGTATATGTGTGTGTTTTATGTGTAATGTTACTATATATATAATGTTACCATATATTGTGTTTAATATATGTATGTATAAATAAACATGTATAATATTTTTAAATAGGTTATCAGGACACCCCATGGGAGAGACTTTGATGACTCTTTAGAAAAGTGTGAAGAGTATTTGGGTGCAAGGTCGTGTGGAAAGCCCCAGCATTCAGCGAGGACCTTACTAGTTCATTCAGCACCCTCAACAGTGCCGAAGCATTCTCCGAGCCCTGTGTTAAATAGAGCTTCTCTTAGGGAAAGGTAATGTGTATTATCTATTTCCTTACTAATCTTTCTTAATGATCAGCATTAGAAATGAAAGTCAGAACTTATGCATGTGAAGTGATTATGTGTAAAAGTTTCTTTTGATTTTGAGGTTTATTTAAGTTAATTTTTGTTTAGAGTATATTGTATACCAAGAGATATTTCTCTCTAGCCAAGTTCACTAGAAGTGAGATTATTAATCAGATATGGGTGTCTTTAAACCTAAGTAATTAATGTACTACTTTAAAGTAAAAATTAGAGCATATGATCATTTTAGTAGATTAATAGAGATTTAATATTATAGGCATGTTTTGAGTAAAAAAATAGCCTAGGTTATATCTTCCAATTAATTATAATGGTGATTTATGCATTGGTGGCAGATGGTATCTAATTTTCTCAAATAAGTTTACCTCCCCCAACTCCCCAAGAGAATCTTTTTTTTTTCTTTTTTGCTGGTATACATATTCACTATATAGAATGAATGGCAGGCTTCATTGTGTCATATATATATATATATATATATATATATATATATACACACACACACACACACACACACACATACACACACATATATATACATGCACATATATATGCCACATATATATGTATTATATATATGGGGAGTATATATATGCCACTAATATATATACATAATATTATATATATAGGGGGATACATAATTTGATCAGTTTTACTCCCTAGTACCTCCCCTCCCCTTCTGTTCTTGCTCCCTCTGATCTTCTTCTTCTACTTTCATGGCATCCTTTTTTAAAAATCTCTCTAGCTTCTACTTATAAGAGAAAGCATATTTCACTTTCTGAGTCTAACTTATTTTGCTGAAAATTATGGCCTCTAGTTCTATCCATTTTCCTACAAATGGCATAATTTTGTTCTTCCTTATGGCTGAACAAAACTCTGTTGTGTGTATATAACACATTTTCTTTATCAGTTCATCCACTGACAGACAGCGAGCCTGACTCGCTGTTGTGAATTTTGCTGTGATAAATATGTGCATGCATGTATCTCTAAAATATGCTGATTATAACTATTTTAGATCAATACCAAGGAGGTATATACCTCAGTTACATGATAGTTCTATTTTTTAGGTTTTTGAGAAACCTCTTCACTGATTTTGTCAGTGGCAATACTAAATTACATTTCTACCAACAGTGCATAAGGGATTCTTTCAAACCCACGTCCTCATCAGTATATATTATTTGTATTTTTTTAATTATTTATTTTTTTAGTTGTAGTTAAACACAATACCTTTGGGCTGGGGATGTGGCTCAAGCGGCAGCTTGCTCGCCTGGCATGCGTGCGACCCGGGTTCGATCCTCAGCACCACATACCAACGAAGATGTTGTGTCCGCCGAGAACTAAAAAATAAATAAAATTCTCTCTCTCTCTCTCTCTTTCTCTCTCCTCTCTCACTCTCTCTTTAAAAAAAAAAAAAAAAAAAAACCACAATACCTTTGTTTCACTTATTTATTTTTATGTGGTGCTGAGGATCAAACCCAGGGTCTCTCACATGCGAGGCGAGTGCTCTACCGCTGAGCCACAACCCCAGCCCATTATTTGTATTCTTGATGATTGCCATTCCAACTGGACTGAGATGAAATCTCAATACAGTTTTGATTCATATTTACCTGTTAAGTAAAGATGCAGAGCATTTTTCCACATAGTTATTGGACATTTGTATTTCTTCTTTTGAAAAGTGTCTGTTCGATTCATTTGCCCATCTGTGGGCAAAATGATTGGATTATTTGCTTTTTTGATGCCAAGGCTTTTGAGATCGTTATATTGTGCTCTATGTATGTAATAAGAATTGTAATGCATTTTGCTGTCATATATAAATATAAAAATTTATATTAAAAAAAAAGAGAGAGAAGACAAGATGGCAAGTTAACAGGAAATGGCTTTTCTCACAGCTCCGTGACTCAGAACTCAAGCAGCAAACAACTATCCCTCAGACAGCAAAGAACTACTCCTCCGGGAGGTAAATGAATAAAGCACTCCACTGATATTCAATACTGGACAGAAAGCCTCAAACGCTGGGAATTTTTTGGTACATTAGACAAGAGTAAGGAAGAGAATTAGAGCTGAGATCCTGGTAGGAGCAGGAAAAATTAATACATAATGTCAGAAAAGACTAAAAACTGCTGCAAAGTCTTGGAGTAGGGAGTCCCATGGTGGGAGGGGCAACCTGCTCTGGGTCAACCCAGTGGCTATTGGGCTTATTAAACTGGTGCATAAAAGGCATGGAGCCTGTGCATGGAGCCCAAGCTGGAGACATTTTGGTACCTCCTGCGGCAGCATCGCCAATCGAGACTTTCGAACTTATATCTGTGAGTTCAGGGCTGAGACCAATAAATGAATCTGGCTGATGCCAGCCATGAGATCTAAACACAGTCTAGCAAATCAGGAGAATATCTGGCACAGAGCATTTCTGGAACGGAAACCATTTTGCCTTGGAGAAATACAGGTGGAGGCCAGAGAAAGCCTGCCCTCCCCTACTCCTTTGAACCCAGCAACTGCAGGACCAGTGGCAGGGAGAATCTGAAGAGGTGGAGTGACTGAGTTCAGGGCTTGGAAATTGTCCTTGAGAGCCAAAAAAGGCCAGTATCCCTAGGCAATATAAATAGTGAAAGACGGACTGCCCCTTTTCCACAGTGGAGCCCTGGGAGAATAGTGCCAGACAGTCCTAGAAGTCAATTGATTAAGGCTTGAAAACTCCCAACACAATAAAACACGTGGGGCAATACCAGACCAAATTCCTGCCCCCGCCCAGCTTCACTTGCAGAAGCTTATCTCAGAGAACCGAGCAGTCACTGTACCCAAGAAGTGAAACCAAAATCATTTTCCACAGCTCCTCACACCATCCTACTGAAGAAGGGAAGCTGACAAGGAAAGTCAGTTTGGCACCATTTGCATGTACTCTCATTGACTATTCTGTTATTTTGTTTTTCAGTGTGTACTGATTGGTACATGATGGATATTTATACATTTGTACTCATGCATATTTGTTTCTGCTTTTTCATTTTTAGCATTTCTTGTAGGTGTCTATTTTTTATGCTCTGTTTTTTGAGGATCAAGGTTTTTGATTAGTATATTTGGATTAATTTTCTGTTGTCTGTTTCACAACTCTGTTTCCCTTTCTCTCTCTTTTTGTTGCTAACAGCTAAACTCTATTTTTCTCTCTTACACTCCAATTCTTTTACTTCTATTTTTCTTCCCCTTCAGAAACATCTTATGTCGCCTTTGCATTTGCCCTACTCACCTCTTGAAATCTATAAACCCTTTCCTACCACCATATCTTCTTCTTCTTTCCTCTTAATGAACTCTCTCTTTATTCAATTTTGTATCTGTTTATTTTTTCTTATTTCTAGCATTTTTTGAAGGGTGTTAGTTTTCATAAATATTTTGAGGGCTAAGATGTTTGATATATTGATTTTATTCTTATAATCTTTGCTTTTTGAAAATTTTTGGACATTTTTTCTCACTTATAGGTTTTCCTTGACTCTTTTTCAGCCAATCTCTATTGTTTTTATKGTGGGAAATAACTGATATATCATTTCTGATTATTGTAACAATCAACATTGTAGATTTCATAGCAAGATCTATTTGATTTAATGCTGTAAATTGTTTGCATTGGTTGTTGCTGCCATCTGTCTACCTCTAAACTGTGAGGTACTGGAAATGTTCAGGGACACTATAAATCTACAGTGTAGAAACTGTACTGCCTCAAAACCAACTGTTAGATGAATAGATACACAAACAACATGAAAAACCAAGGGACTAAATTGCCCCAAACAAACTAAAATACTCCAATAACATAATTAATTGACATCACAGTGGAAGAATTGTCAGAGAAGGAGTTAGAATGTTCATAGTTAAATTTATCTGAGAGTTAAAAAGATGATGTAAGGGAAAAAATACAAGAAGCAAAAGATCACTCTATAAAGAGATAAAGATCCTGGGGGGAATAAAAAAAAAACAAGCAGAAATCCTCAAAATGAAGGAATCAATAAATTGATTAAAAATTCATTGGAAAGCATCACCAGTAGACTAGAATTTGGAAGATAGAATTTCAGGCATGAAGACAAAAATATATAATCTTGAAAATATATTTGACCATGGAGAAAAGATGTTAAGAGACCATGAACCAGAACTTCCAGGTAATATGGGATAACATGAAAAGAACAAACTTAGACGTAGGCTCAGAGATAAAAACTAAGGAAATGAACATTCTTTTCAATTAATTAATGTCTGAAAATTTCCAAAACCTTAAGAATAAAATGGAAAATCAAATACAAGAGGCACACAGGTCTCCAAATATACAATGGTTTAGAACAGACCCAAACCAAGGCACATTATTGTAAAAATGCCTAACCTACAGAAGGATAGAATTTTAAAGGCTACCAGAGGAAAATGCCAGGTCAAATTTATGGGGAAACCAATCCAGAGGCTCAAAGCTAAGGAGGCCTTGGAATAATATATACCAAGCTGGGAAAGAAAATAGAAGTTAACCAAGAATACTAAACCCAGCAAAATTAAGCTTCAGAATCGACAATGAAATAAAATCTTCCATGATAAACATTAATTCAGAACTAGAAAGTCTGCCCTCCAAAACAAACTCAATAAAATATTTCATGAAGAATAAATGAAAAATAAAACTGAAGACCAGTAAAGGGAGAAACTACACTAGAAGAATAGACAATTAAAGGAGAAACTTTTCAAATTAAAAACCAGAAATCAAAATGACAGGGATTAAAAATCATTTCACAATAATAACATTGAATGTAAATGACTGAAACTCATCAATCAAAGAAATAGACTGACAGATTAGATTCAAAACCAAGATCCAAGAGACTCAAGTCATAGGCAAAGACATCCACAGATTTAAGGTAAAAGTATGGAGTAGAAAAACTTATCATTCACATGGATCTCATAAGCAAGGATGGGTTTCCATCCTCAAAATCTGATAAAGTGGACTTCAAGTCAAAGTTAATCAGAAGGGTCAGAAGTCCATTTCATACTTCTTAAGGGAAATATACATCAACAAGACATAACAGTCATAAATATTTATTCCTCAAAAAATGGAGTATCTACATACATCAGACAAACTTTTTACAATCTCAAGAATAAAATACATCTCAGCATCGTAATAATGGATGACTTTAATGTGCTTCTCTCACCACTTAATTGATCTTCAAAACAAAAACTAAAGAAGCTATAGAACTAAAAAATAATTAATAAGAAATAAATGACAAAAAATAGAAGCTACTCTAACAACCGGGAGACTAAATAGTATGCTATTGAATGACCAATGGGTAGCAGAGGAAATCAGCGATGCAATAAAAAAAAAAAACACTTGGGTTAAATGAGAATAGCAATAAAACATATCAAAATCTTTGGGACACTATGAAGGCAGCTCTAAGAGGAAAGTTCATTGCATTGAGCTCATTCCTTAAAAGAACATAAAGTCAACAAGTAAACATCTCAAAGCCCTAGAAAAAGAAGAATAAATCAACACCAAAAGCACTAGAAGACAGGAACTAATTAAAGTCAGAAGCAGAATTAATATTGTCAAAGTGACAATACTACCAAAATCACTATATAGACTTAATGCATTCCTGTTAAAATTGCAATGATATTCTTCATAGAAATAGAAAAAACAGTGATGAGTTCATTTGGAAAAATGAGAGGCCCAGAATAGCCACAACAATCCTTGGTGAGAAAAGTGATGCAGGAAGCATCATAATACCAGACCTTAAATTATACTGCAGAGCTATACTGCAGAGTTCAAGAGAAATTTTTAAACAAGTTTTTCTGCTGAAGTCTGGGAACTTGCATATCAATATCAGGGGACATTTTTTGATTTTCATATCTACCCAGGTGCACATGCAAACAGCGGGTACAGCTTTCTTTTTACCTAATTTATTAATTGTATGCTATTGTGATTTTATTGATTATATCCGTATCATATCTGTAAGTTTTCAATAATTTTTTAAATGTATCTCCTTGGATATGTTTTTATCAATATTGTTTTTCTACCCCTGAGCATAATTTATTGAATTTTCCAATTATAAATCTCTGTAGTATGGTACTAATTTTAGTTCTGTTATATCATCCATGTATATAATTTTATTCCATCTTTTAAATTCCTCTGAGACTATGTTAATTTTTTAACTTTTTTATGTTATAAACAGCAGTGGGATGCATTTTGATGTAATCATACATGCATGGAATATATTTGCTTCATTGCTTTCACATRAGAGAAAAAATTTAACTTTTGACTTTGATTCATTTCACTTGGAATGCTGTTCTTCAGTTCCATAAATTTACTGGCAAATACCATAACTTAGATATTTTTCCATTGAGGGTAGCTGAAATCAGCTGTTCCTTTATTTATATTTCAGTGCAGGGGATAACTTAGTAGTTGAGTTCAAAGCCAGCCTCCGCAATTTAATGAGAACCCTATCTCTAAATTAAATATAAAATAAGGGCTGGGGATGTGGCTCAAGCGGTAGCGCGCTCGCCTGGCATGCGTGCGGCCCGGGTTCGATCCTCAGCACCACATACCAACAAAGATGTTGTGTCCGCCGAAAACTAAAAAATAAANAAAAAATAAATATTAAAAATTTCTCTCTCTCTCTCTCTCTCTCTCTCTCTCTCTCTCTCTCTCTCTCTTTAAAAAAAATATAAAATAAAAGGACTGGGGGTGTGGATTAGTGGCTGAGCTCCCCAGGTTCAATACCTGGCACAAAAGAAAAAAAGAAAGAAAAAGAATTCTAAAATAGTTAGCTTTCATTTTACCTAAATTAATATTTTGTTGTACTCTCCAAGGCATGCTTTTGGTAAACATTTTTTTTTAGCTTCACCAAGTTAGAACACCTATTCCAAGTACATTTTCGAAACAAAACAGAACAAAACAAAAATCCTAGATTTATAGGATTTCTTCATGATATATCCATGATATATCATGAAGACATATTACTAGGAACAGAAACATTTTATTCTTTTCAGACCAAAGGACCACATCTTCAAATATAAGACATTCTTTGAAAGTCTGTTTTTTTTTTCTAGGTCACTAAACAATATATTTGCAGGATGTTTATATAATCCATTGAAATCAGTAAACAATTTAAACTGATGTAAATGTAGATTTATGTCTCAGCAAAATTGGAAGTTTTCCTGGAAGCTGTATGACAGAACATACAGCTGTAGGAGTTTATGTGCATAAACATTCACTGCAGTAAATAAACTTCCTTTAAGATTGCAGGAAAATGCTAACTCCTTAATCATGTATATGAATAAACAGATTTCTAGAAAACTTTATCCATGGCTTTAAGTAAATGGAAACTTTTATTATAGTGAAGGTCGATTTTGCTTTGAACCCACTTAAGAAATACCTCAAGAAATAAAGTTAGCCAACCATAAAATGGTTTCAATTTTGATTGTATTTCAGAAGCACTTCTTATCAAAGTGTAAATATTAATATTATGACTTTAAATTTTATATTTGAATTCACAACTATTACTAAAATTAAATTTAAACATTAGCATATTCTACTAGCTTGAATCAGCTTAAAGTTATGATTTTTGTAAATTAAGTTAAAGATCAGTAGGCAAGTATTCCTTATACCATAGYACAGACTAGTGGATCCTCTAATGGTATCATTGGAGAGCTTCACTTGGAGTTACATAGTTGCATCTTAGATTTCCAAGATGTACTACACACACTGCAAATAACTATTCTGTCCATGTATTTGCATAGGTGCTGTAAAACTTGCTCTTACATATGTCATAGATCAAGTTTTAGATACAATTAATTATCTTTAGATTGTGTTCTTTAAAGTAGGTAATGTAAACAGATTGTCTTGCTTAATAGTTGTACTTTGTGTGACAGTATAGCGTTATAATTTTTAAGAACATAATGAGAGGAAAAAAGGCAGAGTTAAGCAACTTATTAGCATTTTATTTACTTATTTATCAAGGAATTGCCAAAAACACTTCATATAAGTGCTTTATAATTAGAAGGATCCAGAAATTTTAGTTGTTATTTGGGTAAAACAAAATAGCTTAATTATACTGATTCTAGTTTTGAATTTGAGAACAAAATAAAGAGGAATGGAGGCTTTACATCTTAAGTGGCATCTTTAATTTCAACTCATAAACTCTAATAAAAGTCAGATTTTTCTTATATTTAAATATTTATTTCTTTTTAAAAAATAGTTGTCTATTAGCAAAGACTAGAGAGGTGACCTCACCTGTGTTGAGAAGGGACCATTTTATTTGTTTCCTGTGTTCTGAAAGAATAGGAACATGATTGGCCTCTAAATAAAATTTTCATCTATTATACACATTTTATTTCATTTCATAAATTAAGGTTTTTTAACAAAAGAATTTGTTCTGCATAGTTTAAGAGAATATGATTAAATTACTAGAGCATAAGAACTAATTTTAAAGACATTATACATGGAATTGTTATTCTAATACAAAAAACTTTATTTAGAGATAAAATTCTAAAGAATTATATCTGGAAATCATTAAGATATCAGTTATATAGGAATTTTCTCCCAAATGCACATCAAACTTAATTACTAGGACTATTTATTTATTGATTGTAATGTAAAGACTTAATAGCATAGCTGAGAACTAGCACCTGATTTTATGTCTTTCCATCATCCTTTATCAAAGGAAGAAAATATGTAATTTTAATCATATATTTTTAAATCTTATATATTGGATCACATAGAGATAAGAAAAAAAATAACTGTGTCTATGTTTGGAAACTTGGAATTCCAAGTTTGTATTTTTGTCCCTTTGTCTACAATTTACTTTTTTTTTTTTTTTTTTTTTTTGCTTACAGATTCCACTCTGATTGGTGTTCACCTTCAAACTGCGATGAGATCCATGACCGGGTAAAAAATGTCTTGAAATCACATCAGGCTCATCCAGGACATTTATATGTTAGTTTCTAAAATTTTCTCTTCAAGGCTTTTTATAACAGGACAAGAAAACTACCTAAGATGCTTAATGCTTGCAGTGTTTATTCACTGGAAATAAAGAAAAGCATACTCCATTTGAGGGAAGTTAATGAGCTTGCTATAAGCAACTTATCTAGCTTTCTGCTTGACCTAGGTCATGCAAAATTTTTGACATAGATCATCAGAAATATAAACAGTGTTAGTTATGATTATCGTATAAAGAGTAAATAGTAGGCAATCCCTATTAGGTACCCTCTTGCCCTGTAGGAGCTCTGTCTCTTTTCTTCTCACTTGATTAAATCTTTTACACTAAAAAAAAAAAAAAGAAAGTAGTAACTTCATGATAATTATTTCACAGTCTTCAAAACATGAAAGTTCTTGTTCTTTGGTACGGTATAAAGAAATTCCATTTGTTACAAATAGGTTTGTTTCTAAGTGGTAGAGTATGAGAGAGGAGTTTTGAAAGTTTATATTTTGAAGAAACTTCACAACTGATTTGTATATTAAATATTTAAGGAATAAAAAGAGATGGTTAGGTCTATCATTTTATTATTAAGAGAATATAAATATGAGAATATTTTCTGTGATAAGATAAACACATTTACATGCATGACAGGAAATAATGACAGCATGTTCTTTGTGTATTTTATTTCTTATTTCATTTGTCAATTTAAAAAACAATCATCAGTTTCATGTTTGGCGGAAGCTTATGATTTAACCCTGGGATCAATTGTTTAATACATTTAAAAATTTTTCCCATTTTTATTAGTGAATTATAATTATTACAATGTTAAGTATCTATATGTAATTATTTTTAAGATTCAATTYGTTTTCAAAGCATAATATACATATAGAAAATGCATAAAGCATTAGTAATATCTTGATGAACTGTAATAAAATCAAGAAACTCATGCAAACTATTTACCATATCAAGAAACAAAACATTATCAGTTCTGGAAAAGCCCCTGTTTCCTGCCAGCCTCTGCTGCTCTAAGAGTAAACATTGTCTGACTTCTAACAAAACATTATTTTCTAACACCAAGATTAGCATTCCTTGTTTTGAACTTTATGTAAGTGACACTCTACAGTGTTTAGTCCCCTTTTTCCTGACTTGGCTCACTTTGTTTTTGCCATTCAGACATTTCAGATATCTTTGTTTTTTGTTTTGTTTTGTTTGTAGTAGGAGTTCTTCATTGTATGAAAATCCTGCTTTTTATTTATTAATTTCTCTGTTGATGGATATTGGATTGTTTCTGGTTTGGGCTGTTATGGAGTTGCAATGAGAAGATTGCACATTTCCTTGAGTGATAGGTATATTTTATACCTATCTGTGAGAATACTAAGTTAGGGATATGTGTATATTCAGTTTTAGTAGATACTGCTGAAGAAATTTGCACATGATTGTAACTGTTGACATTACCACCACCAGAGTGGAACTGTTCTAACTTGTTCAGTGTCTTCATTGCAACTTGATTGATCGTGGGTGTGTGCGAGTGTGTGCATGCTTGCGTGTGTGTGTGTGTGTGTGTGTGTGTGTGTGTGTATTTTGGTCTTTAGATAAGTGAAAAGTACTTTATCACATAGTGATTTAATTTGCTGTTTCCTGATATCAAGTGAATATTTTTATTAGAGATTTGAATGTCCTTTATTGTGAATGCCTTTAATGTTGTCTGCCCATTTTTCTAATGGATTATCAACCTTTAATTTTTAGTCAAGATTTCAATATAGATTCTTGACATAAGTGCTTGTGTTTTACAATTTTTCTCTCAATGATACCCTTTAATGAAAAGCAGTTCTTAATGCTATTGAATATAATTCATTATTTTTCCCTTTTGGTTAGCATTTTTGTAATTTCCAGACTTTTTCCTCTTTTTTTTCCTTATAAGAGCCTTTTTGTTTTCTTTTACATTTATTTGAATTTTTTTTCTATACAGTGATTGCTAGGTGTTCGATTTCAAGAAAGGTTTAATTATCATAATAGAGGTTTATTTTTCTTTCTAGTTCTATTAATTGTATATATTTTGAAGCTATTTCATTGGTTGGATACAGATTTCAGACTGTACTATGAACTTTTTAACCATGAAGTCCCTCTTTATCTTTAATAATATGCCTTGTTTCACAGTATTTGTCTGGTATTAGGATAGCTATAGTGGCTGTCTTTCAGCTAGTGTTGAATTATATATATTTTTCCGTCTACTTTTTTATAATTATATATAAATGTGTATCTTGCAAGTAGCACATTATGTAATTTTAATCATATATTTTTAAATCTTATATATTGGATCACATAGAGATAAGAAAAAAATAACTGTCTAGTGTTTGGAAACTTGGAATTCCAAGTTTGTATTTTTGTCCCTTTGTCTAAGAATACAAATCTAATGTTTTTTGTAAGTTATTGTAGTTTTATTTAAATTAATCAAACTTAAATAATTCATTTTCCTTTTTATTAACTTGTTCATTTTTTTACTATTCTGTTGTTTTCCCTGTTGGTCTCAACATTCTTACATGACAGAATATTTCTTTTAATGAAGGTTAACATCACCACTAATAACTCATTTTGATAATTATGTATATCTTGAATGTCATGTCATGTGATAGACTATTCTCCATAATATTGTTCCCTCAAAGCCACAACCTTGATCTAAATGCTAGAAAACATCAGACAAGACCAAGGAAGGACTTTCCATAAAATATCTGAGCAGTGCTCTTCAAATACTGCTATATACAGCTGTGTCAAGATTATAAATAATAAGAAGGACTAAGAAATTACACAGATATGATGAGATTAAGGAGGAATGGTAACTAAATGCAGCATGATATTCTATGTTGGATCTTGTAACAGAAAAAAAGTGCATTATTGGAAAGATTGATAAAATCCGAATAATGGCAGCTAATATAATAGTATTGTGCCAATCTTTTTTTTTTTTTTTGAGAGAGAGAGAGAGAGAGAATTTTTTAATATTTATTTTTCAGTTCTCGGCGGACACAACATCTTTGTTTGTATGTGGTGCTGAGGATCGAGCCTGGGCCGCACGCATGCCAGGCGAGCTCGCTACCGCTTGAGCCACATCCCCAGCCCGTATTGTGCCAATCTTAGTTTCTTGGTTTCATGGGATGTCCTATATATCAGATGTTAACATTTAGAGAACCTCAATGAAAGGTGAAGTTTCTATGTAGTCTATGTGGTTACTTTTGCAACTTTTCTGTGAATCTAAATGTGTGTCCCAAAATAAAATAAATTGTTCTTAATTTCAATGCTTTCGGCCTTTAAGTAAGCCTTTGCATGATTTCAGGCCCATTTCCTTTTGCAGGGGTTGTGTATAATTCTTACCTTCTCAGGCAAGACAGCATGAAACTCCCTTCTGCCTTCCACTTARCCTCTGTCCTCTTCCTTTGCAGTTTCAGACATCCTACAATTGTCTTGAGGGAACAGTTAGCTCAATTTTTCAGCCATCACATCTCACTGGAGTTTGAGTTCTCAAATACTTAATTTTGTTTGGCTAGCATTGTAGACTAGTAAGACCCTACTGGTTCCTTTGTTCTCCAGCAGTGGACAGTGATTGAATAAAGCATACATTCTTGATATTTGTTCTGTGCTCAAAGTCTAAAATGCCCCAGGGAAAAAGCCAGCTTCAGTTAGTTCACCTCTGAGGTTATCTCTTCTCAGGAATCTGGGCACTATCAATAGAAGTAGCTTTCTAACTCCTTTAAATAAGAGAAAAATTACACATTTGAGCAAATTACTTCTTCTTACTCAGAGGTGGAAGATTGTCACACCACTTTTTAAAATTAACTTTATTTTTACCTCTGGCTTGACTTTCTTGAATGGACAACATAGGTTTGCTCATGCTAGCTTACACTAGGCACTAATCTGGATATCTTCTAGGAGCAATCTGAGCACAAACTCTTAAAGTTAGATCTAAGATTTACTTTCTTCCTGTGTTCACTCATAGTATTTGTTTGTTTGTTTGTGGTGCTAGGGATTGAACACGGGGCCATGTTCATGCAAGGCAAGCACTCTATCAACTGAGCCATATCCCTAGCTCTCATATAGAATTTTTTTGAGAATTTTTATACCAAATTTATACATCTGTACTTTTCACTGTTCACAGACTGGGGATATTTTTAAGATATCAAATTTTCTATTCATAGGAATTTATATAATCCGATGATTATTTAATAAATGGATAAGTTAATATGAAACAGTAAAAAAAGAGAGAAAACAGTGTGCTATAGTATAATTTAGTATAATAAGAGGCATAAACAGGAATTGTCATTCTTCTTCTTCTAGAGAAAAACTAAAATTTATTAACAGGTAATAACTATTAATAATGTTTGCTATAAGCCAGGTTCTGTGCATGTATTGTCGCACTTTTTCCTTTCAATATACTTAAGTGTGTGCTTGTTTTAGTCAGCTTTTTTGTCTCTGTGACCAAAAGACCTGACAAAAATGATATTGAGGCAGAAAAGTTTATTTTGGCCCTCAGTTTCAGGAGTCTCAATCCATAGATGGTAACTCCATAGCTTTTAACCTAAGGTAAGGCAGTCATCATGGGGGAAGGGCATGGCAGTAGAAAACAGTGCAGATCATGGCAATAAGGAAGCCTACGAACTCTTTTCACCAGGGACAAAATATAAATCCCCAAAGCAATCCCTTAGAGACTGACTTCTTCCAGCCACTCCCTACCTGCCTACAGTTACCTCCCTGTTAATAATCCACATCAGTGGATTAATGAACTTGGTTATGTTAAGGCTCTTATAGCTCAGTGATTTCATCTCTAAACTTTCTTGCATTGTCTCACACATAAGCTTTTGAGGGGTATCTCAAATCTAAACTATAAGAGTGCTATTAAGAATAAAGTAGTATTTTAAGATGAAGAAACTAAGGCCAAGAAAAGTTAAGTGACTTGTATAAATTCAATAATTATACACATGAAATAATTATATAAATTAAATAATTGTAGCCAGCATTTGAATCTAGG